CTGCCCCTTAGGGAGTGCAAAGCTGTCATCTTTATGGAAGCAGACTGACACATCTTTTTCCTATGGAGTAGCTGTTTGGTTTGAACTGAGTGCTTAACCACTGTGGCACCAAGGGCTCCTCATCAAGCACTATGAATGTAATTAATTCCCAAGAATCATAATGATACAGTCTTTATTGAATACACATTTAAAGTGCTATAGTTCATTCTTATAGTGAAATGAGTCAAACAGCACAAAGTTTTGAACTTCAGAAGTCTCGAAGTACATAGATAACGTTGAGCTAAATAGCTGAAAAAAACTGTTTGAGGTTGAGAGCACTTTTGTTCAGTGATATAGACTTCCAGGTATTCAGGCTTCATCAAAGGATAGAAGCATCAGTTCCACGTTCTATAGTCCTGGTTAGTTTCCCCCATGCCCTTTTCTCTCCATAATGACTTTAAGTAGCATAGCTACTCTCGTTGGAGTTTTAAGGCTCACAAACCAAACCAAATCCACAGCCGCTGAGTTGATTCCAACGCATACTGACACTACAGGACAGAGAACTGCCCCATAAAGTTTCCAAGACTGTAAATCTTTATGGAAGCAGACTACCTCATCTTTCTCCTGTGAAGCAACTAGTCGCTTCTAACTGCTGTCCTTCTGGTTAGCAGTCGAATGGATCAAAACAGAGACAATATCACAACATTTACTTTTAAGTTTTGGCCAAGCTGCTAAGAAAATGAAACAATGTTTTTAGTTATAATTTCTAAAATATTTAAGAAAGAAATAATTTGTAACTTAAAAAAGTTTTATACTTTAGCAATATCAATTTGGGTCTTTAATTTTTTAACTAACATTTCTATGAAATATTATTTTCATGGCTTTCTTTGATTTGTTATAGTCACAATGCTTTGCCAGATAATGAGAGAATGAGTTTCATAGGATGAACTCAGTATGTTTGGTACCAAACCCAAACCAAACTCACTGCCGTTGAGTTGGATCTGACTCATAGCTCCCTCTTTGAGTTTCTGAGGCAGTATCACTACGGGAGTAGATTGCCCAGTCTTCCTTCCAAGAGTGGCTGGTGGGTTTGAACTGCCAGCCTTCTGGTTAGCAGTCAAACACCTTAGGCACTATGCTACCAGCGCTCCCATGTTTGGTACAGTGTCCTCTAAATAACAGGGAAAATATTTTTGTCTTTAATAAATATCAATAATAATACACCATACTTGGGTATTTCTTTGCCTTCCTAAGAATAAATACAAAATTATTTTTTCCTGTAAATTCAACAACACTAGAATATCAATCAAGAATAGAATGTGCTTTCAAGTTTGTCAACAAATTGACCCTGTTTATTCAAAGTAACAAGAATTTTAATACCATTATCAATTATTCAGTTACTATTACAAAGTATTAAGAAGCTTTGGTGTTGTACTATCTAAGGCATTTAACTGCTAACCAGAAGGTTGGAAGTTCAAACCCACCAACCACTCTGTGGAAGGAAGATGGAGCTACTGCTCTAAAAATTTACTGCCTCAGAAACCCAATGGGGGTTGCTATGAGTCAGAATCAACTCAAGAGCAGTTGAGTTTGGTTTGGTTGTGGGCTATTACAAAGTATTATCTTTAAAGGGATAGGTACTGTAGAAGTTATAGGTCCTAGCTTTCCCTAAATTCATCCTGTCAATATCACCCAGTGATAACTACCTAACATAATCCTTCCTCACCCTTGCCTTTATTTAGGCATTAATGTAGTTCATTGCACAACTAATGCAGTATTTGTCATGACTGGCTTCAAAAAACTAAAAATATATTTACATACACATTTTTTGAGGTTTCAAAACATCCTACGTGCTAACTGGCTACATAACCTATCAAAGTACTTAATGCTCCCTGTCCAACAAGTTAAACTTTTGTCAACAGAGATTAAAAGGTTTTAGGTCATCTTACTAGATGATGCCTATACCAGCCTTTATTTGCTTGACAGTTCTGACCTTTTCTGACAATCTCTCCAGACCACTTCCTCCTGGATCTCTTCTGACTTCTCTTCCCTCCCTCACTTGCATGTCTTTCTTTGGCCACCCATTAAATGTTGGTGTTTCTCAATATTCTGTTTGCAGCATTTTTTCTCTCATCAGTTATGTAAACACATTAATTCTTACTGTTGTATCTATGACGTATATCACACACACACACACACGTATATATGTGTGTAAATACACATACACAACACACACACTTTACATACTGAGATCTCCCAAATCTCTCTCCCAAGCACCAGATCTATGTTTCTGCCTGCCTACTAGAAATGTCCACCTGACTATTTTTAAAACAGAATTCTAAATCTGTTGCTTTTCTAGTATTTGTCAGCACACAGTGCTTGTGGAATGGACAACTGCCTGAGTGAATTTGTTAAAATATAAATCTGATCAAGTTACATTTTCCATTTAAAATCTTTCAAGACATTCAAGCTACTATCTGCCTCCTATCTACCTTTCTTGCTTTACTCTTAACCACCCTAATTTTGTTCTCCAACCTACTGCCAGACCAAACTTCTCGGCATTCCTGTATCAGTCATGCTTCCTCTTTGTATTTTCTTATTTTAAAAATTTTGTTGTTATTGAGAATATTAAAAAAAAACATGCTATGTGCTAATTGGCAACACACACAGCAAACATACAATTCAGCAGTTTCTATGGGTACAATTCAGTGACACTGATTACATTCTGCCAGCTGTGCAACCTCTGTCCCCCTCCTTTTCTGACTGGTTTCTCCCTCACTAACAAACTCACTGCCCACTAACGTTCCTGTATAATCTTTTGAGTTGCTGTTGTCAATCTGATCCCATAGAGATAGTTCTTAAAAGAATATAATGCTCAAGGCTGACCTTTTTTACTAGTTAAGTTTAACTACTGTTCTCTTTTAAGATGACTTCAGGGGATATTTTCGGCTTAAGGTTTAAAGATTAATGGAGAGCAAAGGTTTCAGGGGTTCATCCACTACTGGTGGTTCCAAAAAGTTTGGGGTCCATGAGAATTGATATTCTGTTCTCAATTTCCCTCTTTTTTTCAGGATCCCTCTATGATATATATATATATATATATATTTTAATTTTAATAATGACTTAGGCATTTATTAGTCATGACGAGCTCAAACATATCTCTATCCTGAGTAGAAAGAACTGGTTATGTTATTAGATGGTTTGGTATAGGGGCTGAGACAAGGTTGGAAGAAGAGCCATTTTCCAGCAGACACAATACTAACTCAACTTGATGACTCCCTCTACAGAATTTCTGATCCAAATGTTCAGTAATGGTAGCCAGACACCATTCAGTTCTGGTCTCATGGCAAAAGAGGCAGTTATTCATAGAAGTAATCAGCTGCACATTCCATATCCTCCTTCTATTCCTGACTCTCTTCCTCTGTTGTTCCAGGTGAATAGAGACTAATTGTTATGCCTTTCATGGCCACTCACAAGCTTTGAAGACCCCAGACACTACGCAACAAGCTAGGAGGTAGAACAGGAGCACTAAACATGTTATTAGCTGGGATGTTCCCTGAAACCAAGACTCTAAACCTCCAAACCAAGGAATCAAATACTTCCTATGTGAAGACTTCCCTAACCTCCCCAGGACTGCCTCCCTTGCACTCCCTTATAGAGATCTGCATATGCCTCTCTTACTGAATTTATCTCATTTGTAATTATGTATTTCACTTACAAAACTATCATCTCTTTCATTTTTTTGCCCCCATGACTTAATTTTGTATTTAATACATCTTAGGTGTTTACTGGCGCTCTGGTGGCACACGAAGGCATTTGACTGCTAACTAGAAGGTTGGTGGTTCAAACCCACCAGCCACTCCAAGAAAGGAAGATGAGGCAATCTACTTCCATAAAGATTTGGAGCTTTGGTGGCACAGTACCTAAGACATCTGACTGCTAACCAGAAGCGTGGTGGTTCAAATCCACCAACCACTCCCAAGAAGAAAGACTAGGGCAATCTATCTCCGTAGAGATACCGTCTAGAAAACACAAGGAGGGGTCACTCTTAATTGGAATCGACTTGACGGCAGTGAGTTTGGTTTTTGAGGTATTTACCACAACTTTTTTAACTGTATTAATCTTTCGTAAAAATAGCTGAAAGATTAACCTTCAGAAATGAGTAAGAATCTTGCTCTTCATTACAGCTAAGCTGTCTAAACTGATAGCTTTTATTTTGACAGATTTTTAAATAACTATACATACTGGTTTTCAATCTAAACCCTTCTGTAAAACACAGAAAATGTCGAGCAACTAAAGCACCATTCTCTGGGCCTAGGTTATATTTAGCTCGTGCAGGAACACACTGATTAGTAATACCTACGCAATCGAAAAATATAAATAATTGCTGAAAAACAGAACAAATTTAGTTGGAAAATAGTTTTCATGCTAGCAAGGTAGCCTATGAGAATGAATACATGTTCAAGAAGAAACTGCCTTCTACAAAAACATTTTAATTGATCTTAACTTCCCTAAATTCTTTAAAAAAGAATCGACCAACCGTTTAGTAACTCTTTTTTGCGTCCAAGTCATTCTGTTAGTAGCACCAAAAAGCAGATCTCAATCAAGCAGAGTAGCATTTGCACACAGTCATTCAGGCGGGAAAAATCCTGAAACACTTACCAGTTTAATAAACTGTACAGAGCAATGACAGCATCAAAAGGGAGGAAAAGCAAACTAGAAGTATAAGGTGACAAGTGAAAGGGGAAAAAAGCTGACAAAAAAATAATCATTAGAAATAAAATTTAAAAAACTGAATGCTAAAAGGCCAAAAAAAAAAAAGCCCAAAAAATGATCAGAGGTAAAGACATGTGACAATACCATCATAAAAAGCTTACCTTTTTATTTAAAAGTTTGGATAGAATAAATAATATTAATTTATACCTTAAAATTACATGAAAAAATATTAAATAAAAATGTGATTAATAATCAGTTGACACAACTATGCTTCAGAATACATAAAATGAAATAAATTCTATTACCTTGATTTCTCTTTGTTCAACAGATTTTTCCCATATTTGTTGATCATATGCTCCAATCTATGAAACACAAAGATAACACTACAGTTAAATGACCAATGATCATTGTTGGTTCTCATCAAATTTCAAGTAACTTAGCATTCATTTAGCACAGATTAAATTCAGCTCTGTTGCCATCTGTGCTTAATATCATATTACAGTGGTTCTTAAAGGACGGTTTCAGGATGAGTAGCATCTTGGGCTGCGTTAGAAATGAAAATTCTCAGGCCCAGTCCCATAACTAGTGAAGCTGAAATCTGGGAGTTAGGCCTAACAATACATGTTTTATAAATCCTCCTAGGTGATTCTGATGCATTATAAAAGTTTGAAAGCCAATGCTTAGGGAATCCTTTATTTTAAATAACATGACTGCTACATCTCTGCACATCTAAGAAAATATTCTCAAGCGATAAATTCTTTATAGAGTTATTTTTAAAGAAAAGACCCCTGATTTTCTACAGTAATTAAACACTGAAAATTAAACATGAAGACCACAATTTATACCAATTGCCACTTAAATTAAGGTGTCAGTTGGAAAACAACATTGTAGAAAAGCAACTGCAGATGTAAGAAAAGCAGTAAGGAGGAGAATTCCTTATAGCTTCTGTGTCTAATCTTCTTAAATGCTGGTAAATTCTCTGAACTCTATCTTTACCTGGGGAGGATGAATAAGCTATTCCTCATTGTTCAGCCCCAAGTTCTTTGCTGTTAGCTCCTAGTATCCCCAGTTTCCACTTAATTTCCTACATTCAATAGGATACTGAAATGGGTCAATGAGCTAATCATGATGGTAGATTTTCATTATTGCTTAATTTAAAGTTCATATTTTTAGGAAATGAAAAATATTTCAGATAATTATAATTAGGGGACTAGAAGGCTGGAGGTTCAAACCCACCAGCCACTCCTCAGAAAGAGGATTGGGTAATCTACTTCATAGAGATACCGCCCTGGAAATCCAAGGAAGGGTCATGATAAGTTGGATCTGACTCGACAGCAGTGAGTTTGGTTTTTGGAGACAAAAAGAGATAGGCAGGGGTATTTTAAGAAAATTCACCCAGAAACAGTATGTTCTGACTCACAACATCATTCTACCCAAAAGTCCTGTTATCTACAAATTATTTTTTAATCTTGTTTCAAGAAATGAAGGAGCTCTGGTGGCACAGCAGGTAAGGCTGTATGGAAAATGAATTTACTCTGTAAATTTTCACCCAAATCACACTAAAAATTAAAAAAAAAAAAGGAAAGAAATGAGAAAACCAAGTGCTCCTTAGAGCAATTTAAAATAGACATAAAGAAGGAAGACTGAATGAATTTATTTCATGACTCCTTAAGAGCCCTTCATTTCTAATCTTTTATCTATTTGTTCATTCTCTTATCCATATTAATTTCCCTGATCCTGTAAATCCTGTTCTGTTTACCACTTTCCTATTTTTAAAGTTACCTTATATAGTCCCTAAAAATTAAACCTTGTAACACTTAGATCAAGTCACATGCATGAAAGAACTCAACTTATATGTTAGTAAAACTTCATCAGTCTCTACAAAGCACAGTTAAGATGCACTAGGAACTCTGGTAGCATAGTGCTTAAGGCACTTGACCGTTAATCAGAAGGCTGGCAGTTCAAACCCACCAGCCACTACTCAGAAGGAAGATGGGGCAATCTACTTCCGTAGTGATACTGCCTTGGAAACCCAAGGAGGGGTCGCTATGAGTCGGGTCCGACTCGACGGCACATAACAACAACAACAGGCAAGCAAAAGACAACTGGTTAGTCCTAATGGCAGAGCTGCCTTGCAGAGATTATTTGTCCCATGTTCTTTTAAATTTTGAATTCAACAATCTTCTTCCTTAAAATCAGAAAAAGCAAGTATGGGTACAGATTCCATAGAACTAATTCTGCTCTAAATTGATCATTCAAAATAACTGGGGTTAATTCAATCAAAATTTGTTTTTAAAATGTGTAACTATTTCAATGTATTTTGTACTCTTTAGTTATTTTGACTCTCATTAATAAATAAGGAATAATTACTAATAGTTTCAATGATTTTTGTAAATTGGAAGTATTTTGTACTCACACACAAAATAATTCCCTTTAAAATAATAATGTTTTAAAATAAATGCTTTATTTATTTCAAGGAGACTCAAGAATATGCATGTCCTGCAATCTAGGGAAAATAATGTCTATGTATTTACAATTAATCATAAATGCATGTCAAAACTTGGCTTAAGTAGGTTTAGTGCAACTCATTATTGAGTACCCAATAGCCCCAGGTTTAAAGTGGGGCAGAAAGGTTAACAAACTGCAGTGAAACAGCAGAGAAAAATGAAAAAGCTTTCTGAAGGCTGAGGTTCCTGTAAATAGCAGAACAGAAGAACAGAACCCTAAAAAGGGGCAGCAGTGACGGACGATATTCCCATAAACAAGCCACAGGGAAAAGACAGCAGCTGTCTTTGTTTTCCATCTATTCCATCTCTCTTAACTGTTTTCACATGCAATTTATCTTTTTCTTTCCACCTATAAATGAACTTTGGAGCCATTACATCTTGAGGTCAAGACTGATGAAAACTGACCAAAAAGGATAACTGAGGAAGCAAAGTCTGGAAAGCAGTAAGAAAGTAAGTTTAAAAAGGAAAAAGAAGAAATTGTGATATTAGAATTTAGTATTAAAAGTAATTAAAATTGAACTAAATGAATATTCTTTAGAGGCTTTCTGACATACTAAAGACTGTTATAAAAGGAGAGTGTGCATGTTCTAAATTAATG